TCCCCTTGCCTCTCACGTAAATGAATTTACAACAGATGTTCAAATCGTTCTCCATTCGCTTCTTGACAGTAACCAATCCTATTGTAGAATGATTGAGTTGCATTTTGGATCATCTGTCGTGGAATGGCATTAATTTCTTGAACTATTCTACGTCTTAATTCTTCAAGATTTTGTGGATTACTTCTGTATACCCGATCATTTAAATACTTCCAAAAAAGTATGGACTATCCTATAATCTGGAGATCTTGGAGCCCACTCTACTGTACCTTTTCTACCTATCCAACTATCAAAAATATTTCATTGAGGTATTGTCTGACATTTACACCGTAATGAACTGGAGCACCATCTTGCTGAAACCATGTTTTGTCAAAATCATCACCTCTTAAGGCCTAAATAGCTGGAACAATTTCATTTCGCAAAAGTTGTTCATAACTTACAGCGTTCAAATTTCCTTCGATAAAAAAGGACCCTATTATTGTATCGCCTACTATTTCCACCCTCACGTTTAATTTTTTAGGATAGTTAGCGTGACTTTCTCTCATCCAATGAGGATTTGTGTTGAACCAATATCTAAAGTTATAACGATTGACTTCGTCATTTAATTGAAATGTCGCTTCGCTTGAAAAAACAATATTTTGTAAAAATATTTGATTTTCAGTAATCATTTGCATCTTTGTCTCACCAAATCTACTCGACGATCAGGATACTGATTCAATACCTTCACAAGTTTCATTTTATAAGGATGAAACTTATTTACCTTTAAAATTTTAAGAACAGATTTTTGATCGATCTCCTGTTGTAAAGCTACTGATCGAGATGATTCATTTGAATTTTCCACATAAGAGAGTAAAACATCTAAAGATTTTTCTTCATTTGTTGCTGTTCGTGGTCTTCCAGTAACAGAACGATTTTTAATAGACCCCGTTTCTTGAAAACATCTTAAGGTTTCTAAAACTGTGGATTTAGACAAAGGAGTTTTGCCATCGCCGTTTCGAAACGTTCTATTAAAGAGATTAACAACATTAGTATACAACCTTTGCTGATCACCCCAACCCCTCATCATTAGAAGAGATATTCGTTCTCTTTCGGACAAACGAAACAGTTTTTTTTTATTGGTTTTTTTTTTCTAGAGCCTATTTACTATGAAAACAACAAAATATGGTTTCAACTTCCAATTAGTAGAAGTCAAGATCAAATAAGATTTTAAAATCTAAATGATAACAATTTTTTAATTATTATTTGTAAAAGCACTTCTATTTTATTTTTAAATTTTTACTTCTTTCAAATACCTTCAAAATAATTTTGTATTTCTAATAAACAATTAGCTTTACAGCCCATGAAAGAGGAGAAAACGTAACTTTTGACGAAAAAAAAACGTGACTCTGCAGTTTTTGACAATTTTAATGATATTTTATGCTCAAAGTAGTGACTTTCTATTTTCTAAAATGAAAGATGAAGACTGTGAAAAAAATGAGATCCAGATGAACTGTGCAGTGTGAAAAAAGAGTTGTCTTCTTTTTTCAAAATTCTAAAAAAATACGAGAAAGACGACTTTCTAATTGCTTTTTATGCATTTTCTAGCAAAAATCATCCCTGTTTTTGTATTTAAAAAAAAATATTGTTTTCTCAGACGAAGCTACATGTCAATGAAATGGCGAAGTCAATCGCCATAACCTTAGATATTGGTACAAGAAAATCCTCATTGGATGAGAGAAAGTCACACTCAATATCCTGAAAAATTAAACGTGTGGGCATAAATGGTAGGCGGTACAATAATAGGTCCCTTTTTTATCACAGGAAATTTGAACGCTATAACTTTTGTGAAATCAGATTGCTTCAGCTATCCAGGCGTTAAGATGTGATGATTTCAAAAATACATGGTTTGAAGGAGGATTAGGGGTCACGCTATCTTTGAATCGTTCCCACCCGTAAAATTTATCGCTCTTTTTGATTCCAGTATAAAAAATAGTAGTTGCTGTATGAAAAAATTAGGTTGACCTTGAAATAACCTTGAAAATGAGGTTCAAGGTTAAATCAGAGGTCACCGTTGGGTTCCTCGTTGAAAGTTACATAGGGTATGACCTTTGTTTCATGACTAACCTCATGCGGTTTTCCGAATTTTCCGGGGTTTCTATACTTTTTCCTGACCCTGTATATATATGTGTTGAAGTATTTGATTTCTTACTGTATTATATATCTATATATATTATATATATATTATAATCCTGTTTTCTACTATAGATATGTTGATGATGAACAAATTGACAGAATCTTGAATTATAACTCAGAACATACAATACATCAAAATGTTAATATTGTTTTAAATTTAGTTGACGGGGTGTTTTTACTTGCTGACAAAAAATTTCGTTCGCGCAATTTAAAAATAGCTCCTAATATCCTGAAAAAGAATAATTATCCATCTGGATTTTTCAAAAAATACATACACAAACGGATTAATAAAAATAAAAAAGGGAAGAATAATTCTAAAAAGTTAATAAATCAAAAACTACCTACAATTGCTATTCCAACTAATTGCAACATCTTTAAAAAATGTTCTTCCGTGTTAAAAAAAACATGACATTACTCCAATTCCTTTATTACAAAAACCATTACAAGAGTTCATTCGTCTAGGAAAAGACAAATCTGATTTATTAGACAACACTGGTATTGTCTACAGTTTTAACTGCAAAAAATGTTCAGCGGTCTACATAGGTGAAAGTAAGCTATCCTTAAAAATTAGATTAAATGAACACAAAAAAAAACATTGACCCAGATACAGTAGTAGCTATACATAGAAGAACTCTCACACATGAATGTGACTGGGACAAAGCTAATATATTAGATTATGAAAAGAATTATAAGAAATGCAGAATATCCGAAATGGTGCACATTGGCTTACATAAAAACACTTTAAATAGAAAAGTTGATATACTCGTACATTATCTTAGTCATATTTATAAGCCTTTATTAAGATCGATGAGGAAGGGATGATAGATAAAGAATATGTGTGTGTGTGTGTGTGTGTGTGTGTGTGTGTGTGTGTGTGTGTGTGTGTGTGTGTGTTGTAATACTTGATTTCTTACTGTATTGTAACGTGACTGGCTACGAGCTGTTCGTTTAAGCCTATAATAATTTGACTACGAGAGAAATCAAGTACACACATATACATATAATTTGCCTTTAAAATTACATTTGCAACTTTATTGTCAATAATTGGTTTTCTGTTAATAAAACCTGAAGAGGTCAGCAAATGTGCTGAAGAAACGTTGCTGAATATAGTTAAAATTAAGTGAATTTCCATATCTCACTATTTCTCCTTTTTCCATTATTACAAAATTTATCATTGAAATTAACATCTTTGATTAAGATCTAAAATAAGATACCTTGAATGCCAGGCCTTATTGTTAAGTAAATTGATCTTATGTAAACACAAACTCACTGTTTATAATAATAGCCTTATGCTTATATTATCGTATACCAAATGAGCCATATGGCTTCTAAAGACATGGATGCTATTAAAGATAGTAGAAAACTTGTTTACTAGCAATGCCTTTAAGAACGGGGACCATTACGGGAATGCGGTTGGATATACAGAAAGACTTTATTTTGTAAGAACAATTTTCATGAGATCTGCCCCTTTCTTTTCTGTTAAGAAATATCATATTTTTATTTTATTTGTCTTATACGATAATAGAATTCCCCAAAGTACCCGTGCAAATCTTTTACTTATCCATCGTTATCATAACGTCAAAAACGTGTATGAATATATCTACTACAACAGACAAAGGTTTGGGGATAAGTTAATAATCTATTAGTATTTCTATCATGTTTAAACATAGTGAAACTTTTTTATACAATTTTATTTTAAGATTTTAGAAATATTAAATTTACGATATCTAGATACAATATCGATGTTCCTATTTCAATTTATAAACTGAATTTGAAAAATATACAACGAAATCTACAATACTTTTATTTACATTTTACAATAATACACTGCGAGAGTCATTCAATCAAATTCAAGCGCAAAATTTTCATTGATGAGGTTTTACCCTACTAAACGTTTAAAATATTCGAGTATTTGATAACCATTGTAACGAAACTGAATTTAAAATATATCTGGCATACAGATAGCAGATCTTTGAAAATTACAGTGAAATAATAATGAAAGAGATTACGTTGTCACCCACTCAGTTATAATTCATCTACATAAAATATCACTCCAAGCCAGCAAGTAAAAGCATTTCGCCGAAGCGGATACATAAAAAAAAGTGTACTGACCATCAAGTGATTGATTGGAATCGTAATGACATGCAATAAAAACGGTATAAGTAAGTATGATTATGTCGATAGGCAGCTAGGCGATAATTGAGATAATTCTGCGAGGGCAGTGAAATCGAAAAAATCACTTAAATTTATGAAGAAATCACAGAATTCCACACAAAAAACTGGCATCGTGTGTTCTGACTGAATAACAGTGAGAAAATAAGAGACCCATTTAGGGTAATGCTCCAAATATTAACTCCATAAAGATACGTAACAGAAAATTACACCTTTCTTTAACAGCATCTTTATGATAATTTAGGGTTACTGGGGTTACTGAAACTAAATTGTTCAAGTTGTAGATGAAAACGTCATTAAAATATGAAGCTACATTTTATTCAGACAAAATGGAAATATAAATGGAATTGGAGTTATCCTGTATATGCGTAGTGTATTGTATGTACGGGTCAAAAAAATACATCTGGTATACAGACATCGGTATGCATGAATATCTTTTTTGTGGTGTAGTGTAAGGTCACTACCTCTCCATACTGGCCGTAATAATTTATAGAGTCCCAAAGGTACCTATACAGAGAACTTAGCATAATTATAGATATGAATATCTGAATTTTATGTTACATTACTTTTAGATAATTTAAAGTTCTCGGACTTAATTTTTTCGAAATATTCAAAGAAATACAACTTTGATAAATAAAAGTTTTCAAAATTCTACATACTAAGTCAATTGCTGCGACTTCTCCACAAACATGTACTTCATCAGCAGGAACGCCTAGAAGAGCTCTAGTCCAAGCCCAACCCCTTTGCAAATCTTTCATTAATTGAATTTCATCTATAACAGCTACTTCACCTGAAAGAATTATTTCTGTAGCATATTAAACTAGGAATGTATATATATATGTATTACCAGTAAAGTACGAGGCGCTCGAATTTCACAAAACAGTTCTACAAAATGCGAAATAACTGAACGTCTTACAGTTAGAAAAAATGAATAATTCATCACTGAATCTAAGTATTGCCTTTGACCATTATTCATTCGGCGTTCTGTCGAACTGCTTTAGGAAATTCCACTTCAATGGGATTAACTGGTAACATGTACGTACATGGATTGTCAAGCGCCATCATTTCAACCGTGCATGCTATATGTTGTGATGGATTATTTTCATCTGTTGAATATTTTCGTTCTTCTCCTGTTATCAAATCACAAGGTGTTCCCTGATATGCAAATGAATTAAAATTTGGCCATTTTTTAAACATAAAATTATACATGAACTCACTTGTAAATTACATTTATTGAAGACTTCAGTTGCTAATAATCGCAATGGTCCACAATAGATCCCACTTTTTGCTGTCATAAAACGTTCAAGAGCATGGTATGTTTTCCCGCTATTTGTTGGCCCAGCGTGGAAAATAATTTTTCTGGTTATACTTCGAGCTACCGGATACCTAAAAAATAATTAAAAAATAAAATTTTACATAATGCAATAATAGCTTTATTTTTATTATTATTATAATTATTATTATTATTTTTCCTTCTATCCATCTACACTTTGTCGAAGGCTGCTGGCTTTACCATCTCAGCAACTAGTTGGGTGAAGCGCTTACGGGAATAGTGTTCATGTCTCGCGCCACTTAGTGGTAATGAATGTGAAAATCGAATATATGGCGTGTGTGTGTGAGTATATGTGTAGTTCAGTTATAAATGAATCGGTGGTTTACTTAATTGGTAACCCTGAGGATTCCGTACGTGCACGAAGCGAAAATATGCTGCACGGACCTGAAAGGGCGACTGAGTAAGGAACCTGTATGCTAACTGTAGTCGATATCGTGGACACCGTAAAGAGGTCTTGATCGGTTTTACAGAGACACAGGGAGGCATGTATTCTTGGTAACCCTTAAACCAGCGATCTCCTCGGATGCGCGATTACACGCGGAGTGCAGGCCGAGATGATTAGCCGTAAATCGGGTTACCTAGACAGAGTGAATATATAGTGTGTATGAGCGGGCCCTATAAACGGGTATCTCCCGGATGCATGAATTAAATATGTGCTTGGTTTTGATGCACGAGGGGTCAAGATGCACTTTCCTCAACTAATAGCAAACCGTCGTATTGGACGTGCGGTACGGCTCATGAAATATCAAAAGAAAATCTTGGATGCCGAGACAATCAGAGGTTATGGGCCGAGGTGACCTAAACCATCTTTGACTTCCACTGATATTAAGACGGGTGGCTGTTTTCCTAGTCCGAGCAAATTGTTGATACAAACGCTGAGGCAATCACTCTGTCTGCTTCTTTAGCTATACCAGATATAATTGACGATATTCTGTATTCAAAATGTAATAGTAGCGTTCGTTTTATAAAGGTGAAACTACGAAATAGGAAGAACAAAACACCTCAAGCTCCTTAGTTTGCTAATCAAACGTCGACTTCTTCTTCAGAACCACCTTGACAGCAACAAAACAGTTCACGTTACAATCCGATAAAGCAAAAGATTATTGAAGAAGAAATAATTAAGTTACCTTTGAAAAGAGTGATCTCTATGCATAAGTTTTGTTGTCTATCTGGAGCAAAGAAGGGATTTATTGCTGCTCCTTTTAAAATATGACAACAAGCTTTTGTTAAAAAACAAATATATATTCGACAAGGTAATTCATGCTACCATAAGCATTTGATAAAGAAGCAATTTTTCAATAATGAATTAGAGAGTTTGAAAATAATTTCTCATTCAAGTTATGTTACAGCTAATGATATCACGAAATTACTTAATGCTTGAAGTGTAACTCTAGATCGAGAAATGCATGATAGAATTGGTGATTTTTCTATTTCGAAAGAGAGGATTTATGCATTTAGTGGAATACGTTAGGAGGAGATAATTCAATTACGGGAAATGATGGTTTTTTTTTGAGAAATATAAATAAAAGAATAGTAATCTTAGCTCTTGTTGCTTTTTTGTTCCGATTACGAACAAGGAATTTAAATGAAGTTATCTATTCCATCCTCGGTCTTCAACATCATCCACAAATGTCAGAGTTTTTCATATGTATTTTGCATTCTTTTGAAAAGGATGTTTTGCTTACACGTTTTGGCTTGGAAACTGTCAATCGAGAAGAATTTATTAGAGATCATTTCACTATTTTACTCAAAAAACTTCATAACATAAATAGCAATAATCTCGCGCTAGTTACTGATGGCATTTATCTAAAGCACCAGAAAATTGTAAACAACGAATACCAAAGAAGATTGTTTCCAAGGCATGAAAAAGTTTCTCTGTGTAAGTCGTTTAGAATATGTACTATGGATAGTTATATAGTTGACTGATTCGACCATTTTATGCTAAAGAGAACGATGCAAAAATTTTGGAAACAATCCTAAAGGAGTGTGAGAGCGATTTAAAGAAGGCTTTCACGATATAAAATCGCAATTAGAAGAAGATGGTTATCATGTTCTTATGCTGGCTTTGAATAATGAAAATGAAAAACAATTGTCAGCAAAAGAAGCAAACGAATCTCCAACGATGCTTCGATAGCTTGTAAAAGCAGTACATGGCTTCGTAGCTCAAAAGTATAAGTTTTTTCATCAAGAACTGAACAACCGCTACCTATCTGAAGCTGGTCTGTACTGTGAATAGTTTACTTTTTAATAAATCAGTTTGTTAACCGACTCGTCTCAAGGGTATCTACTTATAAATAAATTAATACTAAGTCAGATCCTTGCAAAACATTTGTAAGAAAATACTTCAGGTAAAGAAATATTTAATGGAAAATACAGTAAAAGAAAAAGTTTATTACAGAAATTGACTTCTTCTGACGTACTTGATTTTCCTGAAATCACAGAAGAAGATCTCATAAGATTTTTTACAGGAACTTATCAGCTTCAACAAGCAATTTCCTATTTGGCAGATATGATGGATGACAAGGATGTAATCAATTTAAGTTACCTTAAGACATCAGTTGATATACTTAAAATACAAGTAAGATCTACGCACAAAGAGAGTACAACATACAATATTTATGTACACTATAAATGAAATACAATTGGCTGTGCTGGTATTTCACGTCATTATTAAGACTATACTAACGGTAAAATAACAATTGGTTGCTCTTCTTACGTGACAGCTGTTATTTACCTATTATCGTACGCTAGATACCAATCCGAAATTGTGAGACCTGCTCAACATCTTACAAAAATTTATGAACGAAACCATGTGGTTCCAGTTATCGAAGAGGATAGTGATGATAAGTCTAATGAAAACTACCCATGTCCAATTCCTTGAACGAATACTTCGCAATAAGTTTGTACAATGCTCATCGTTTACATGAACTCCACTTATGGACTTATTGTAAAAGTGAACAGCTTCCAGAATCGATATATAGAATTTTTTCTTTTTTTAATGGAACTGTATCTCTTTGCTAATGATAATGGAGTGACCCCTATCACTGTAAATAATATTGACATCGGCTTCAAATCCATTACAGTGATGTAATTAATTCCAGAATTGCGCTCATGCTTTACTATAAATTTTTCATGTGGAGACTTTTTATCGAAGTTGTCTCTAGTAGTTTTGACTTCAATTTTAACTGATATAAATGCGTACCAAGATTTAAATTTGTAAAATAATATTCGAAATAAAGATGATAAAGAGAAACTTTTGCATCAAATGTCAATTTGAAAAAGGCTGTCAATAAATTTAAAATCATGCGAGATCCTAATACAAGGGTGGTCCGATAAGTACTTAGACTCACCACCCGATGGCGCCACTCTCGCAAAAGAAATATTCTATCACGTAGTACAACCTTCTCGATGGTTACTGTCAAGATTTCAGCCGGATCGGAGTTGTAGTTTATTTTTGAGAGCGTGTAAAAGCAAGTGTGTCCGTTGATTTTTGAAAAATTGAAAAAGAGCAGTATCGGTCGGTTATTCGATTCTTGTTTTTGGAAGGGAAATCGTGCAGCGAAATCAAAAAGCGCTTGGAGGCTGTGTACGGTGACTCTTTTGCTTCGATGGTGACCGTCAAAAATTGGTTTAACGAGTTTCAACGTGGTCGCACGTCGATTTTTGAAGAGCCACGTCCAGGTGCTCCGAAAACGGCAACCACAGAGGATAACCTGACAAAAATTCACGATCTCTTATTAGCAGATCAACGATTCAAGGTGCGCGAGATAGCTGAGGTCGTAGGCATCTCAACAGACCGCGTGGTTCATGTCCTGTATGAAATTTTGGGCATGAGAAAGCTATCGGCGCCATGGTTGCCGCGTTTGCTCACTCCGGACAATAAGCGCAACCGTGAGACAACTTCAGAGCAATGTCTGACGCTGTTTAAGCGCAATCCGAAGGAGTTTCTGCGTCGTTTTGTGACAGTCAACGAAACATGGATCCACTGGTATACACCAGAGACCAAGAAACAGTCAAAACAGTGGACTTTACCCGGCGAAAGTGCTCCGAAGAAGGCGAAGACTGCCCCATCGGCCGGAAAGGTGATGGCTACCGTTTTCTGAGATTCACAACGTGTGATCTATATCGACTACCTGGAGAGGGGCAAAACGGTCACAGGGCTGTACTATTCCGAATTATTGAGCCGAATCGACGTCGAATTGCAGAAAAAACGGCCCCATTTGGCGAAGAAAAAAGTGCTCTTCCACCATGACAACGCACCGGCTCACACCTCCGCCGTCGCCATGACCAAATTGATCGAATTAGGCTACGAACTGCTGCCCCATCCACCGTATTCTCCAGATTTAGCCCCGTGCGACTTCTTTTTGTTTCTGAACTTGAAAAAGTCACTCGCCGGGCAGAAATTTTAGTCGAATGAGAAGGTAATCGCTGCCACGGAAGCCTACTTTTCAGACCTCGAGGAAACGTATTTTACAGACGGGTTAAAGAAGTTGGAGCATCGCTGGCCAAGTGTATCGAACTAAAAGGAGACTATGTTGAAAAATAAAACGCCACTTTTCCACAATTTTCGTTTTCCTTTTGTAGGCTAAGTACTTATCGGACCACCCTCGTATATCCGGAAGTTGTTAAATGATGAATTTTGAATAAGTGTAATAGTGATTCTACAATCTCCAAAAGAAAGCTTGTCCGGCGATCTGACAATATTGCTCTAGCGGCATCGAATTGGCATATTAAGTATCTGGCTAATGCGTCAGCGATAGTGGTTGCTCTAAGATCCTTTATTGGTACTACAATTAAGTATTTGGTCAGATTGCATTGCATGGTCAGCAGGTGAGAATTTCCACTAGGAGTGGTTCGTAATTTTCCTACGGTGTCTATCGATACCTTGTCGAACGCCTCGATTGGTGTATCCGTAATCAGCATCGGTTCCCTAGTCTTGTGACGATCAATTTTCTTCTCAAGACAACTCGGACATTTCCGTACGTAATTTAATATGTCCTTTCGTAGTTCTGGCCAATAATATCTTGCTCGAATTTTTTGGTGTGTCTGATTA